AACTATGAATCAACTTCGCCAGTCGCCACCCTTATTCCCGCCAGATTAGATGAGACTCAAGGCCACGCATATCCGCTCGACTCGTGATCATCCCCCGCGACCGACGTCAAGGTCGGAGCAACATCGCCCAGTTGCCCCTCCACACTGCGAACTCCCGTCCCGCCGCCCACGCTCCTAGAATTTAGCGACCTCGTGGGAAATATGACCTGCATGCACCAACCTGTTCGCCTGCTTCGCCGCCCTCGCCGGTCTAGACCGTGACCAATCTCCATCCCTCCATTGTCACCGGCAAAATCTGGCCCCACTTCGGTGAGTTCGTTGGCACCGGCCCTTCTGGGGAAACCAACGAATGTGGGGGTGATGGAGAAACTTGCTGATGGTCTCGAAACCTGCTCGTCAGCCGTGTGGGAATAGATGGGAATAGAAGGGAATAGGGGGGAATAAAGTGGGAATGAAGTGGGAATGAAGTGGGAATGAAGTGGGAATACCGGGGCATTCCCATTATCTCAAGGTTATCCCCAGATATCGAGAAGAGACGGACTTATTACCAGACACGCTCGGATGAGATGAATGGTCTACCGCTGCAGCCGCGTCAAAATATAAACTCCCCATATCTCCCACCTTGTCTGTTGAGTCCCGTCGTTGTGGTTGTGTTCCTTTTTATTATCCATATCCTAGAGTCTATTGTTGTGTCTCCTTCTCATTTTTTCTTTGACAGTGATCGTACTGTATTAGAAAACATATCTTGAGACAATGGCGCCCGAGCCAATCAGCACCGCCGACTCTCGCTCTAGCAGCCATGAGAAAGCACACGACGGGCACATTGAGGAATTAGAGAAGGGCGGTCTCTCTTCGCCCGATGAGAGGGTCGTGGTGACAGAGTTGACCGAGACGGAGCAGAAGGCAACGATGTAAGTCGGTCCACATCTCGCTCTCGACTCTAGAAAAGAACGACTTAGATAGACCAAGTGGCTAACCAAAGAATGGAATAGACGGAAGATTGATCTGCGGCTTCTCCCGATCTTGGGACTCATGTACTCGATCTCGCTTGTTGACCGGACGAACTTGGGTCTTGCCATGGTGGCGGGCATGGAGACCGATCTGGGTCTCGATGTCGGTGATCGATACACCGTGATCGTGATGGTCTTCTTCGTGGCATACATGTACGCTCCCCATCACATTCAGTCCCCATCCCATCCAGCCCTCAAAATTATTTTCGGAACAACACCCGACTCTTCGTAATCAGTAGAAACCACCACTAATCCCGTCGAACAGCGTCTTTGAAATCCCCTCCAATCTCATCCTCCCCAAAGCCGGCGCCGCCAACTGGCTCGCCTTCCTCGGCGGATCGTTCGGCGCAATCCTCATCGGCATGGGGTTCACCAAGAGTTGGGGAGCCATGGCGGTTTGCCGTGCGCTGCTCGGTATCATGGAGGGCGGCTTCTTGCCCGGCTGCACGTACCTGATTTCCTGCTGGTATACACGGTTCGAGGTCGGCAAGCGGCTAGCGGGCTTCTGGATCCTGAGCGTGCTCGCGAGCGGGTTTAGCAACATTTTTGCGTACGTGTTGACGCTGTTGAAAGGGAAACAGGGATTAAACGGGTGGAGTTGTAAGTCCTTTTTGCCAATTGTTGCCCTTCTCTTCCCTATTGTTCCCTTTCTCTTCTATCCCACACTGGTACGTTTTGACCGGATTTCATACTGACCGAACATCCACAGGGATCTTCATCGTCGAAGGTGCCATCACCTGCGCGGTCTGTCTCCTCGGGTGGTTCATCATTCTCGACTTCCCCTCCAAATCCGGCAACTTCCTCACCCCCGTGCAGAAGAAATTCGCCCTCGACCGCCTCGACGCCGACCGTGGCGACGCGGTCGAAGATGAGATCACCCTACGCAAAATCCTCCACCACCTGAAGGACTGGAAGCTCTACATCTGGGCCTTTAACCTGATGAGTTCGACGCTACCTGGGTACGCGTACGCATACTTTCTGCCTATCATCCTTAAGCAGGGCATGGGATTTAGCACCTCGAAGAGCCAGCTGATGAGCGCACCCCCCTACATCCTGGCGGCGTTTATCACGTTTGCGTCAGGGTGGTTGAGTGATCGGTACCGGATCCGTGGGCCGGTGATCGCGGTTCATCAGATCCTGACAGCGGTGGGGATGCTGATAACGGCGTTTGCGAAGAATACCGGGGCGAGATATTTTGGTGCATTCTTGGGTAAGTGATTTTTTCGCCACTCGAAACAGTGTGGGTGTCGATCGGTGATGCTAACGGTGTCGGCATTAGGCATCGGGTTCCTGCAGTACTGCGTACCTGCCGTCCTCACCTTCCAGGCGAACAACATCACGTCGCATTCGAAGCGGGCGGTCGCATCGGCGACGTGCATTATTGGCGGTGGAGTCGGAGGAATCATCGCCAGTGTAGCATTCATGGCATCCGAGTCGCCGGACTATCATGTAAGTGTTCAGCAACTATCCCTGGATCGAAATGATGCTAACGGGGGGATAGACCGGCATCTGGACCACCATGGGTATCTCGATTGCAAGCTGCGTCCTGATCGCGATCATGGATGTGTACTTCTATTTCAGGAATAAGAAGGCCAGGGCGGGTGTAGTGTTGAACGAGGGTATGACGAACTGGTATTATACCCCGTGATGCGTGAAATAGGATTGTCTTTCGTTGGAATGGTATGGAGATGAGACATAGCAGACTAGGCGACTGGTAAGAATATAGCACTTAGGGCATGACGGTCAGGGCACGGACCGATACATAAAGGAATGAACTTACGTTTAACTTGCTAGCACATGGACTTTGGGGACAGGTCTAATGAATTGGTGATGGATAAGGAATAAGAAGGTCAGGGCGGGCACAGTAGTGAACGAGGGGCTAGCGAACTGGTATTACCCCGTGATATATGAGATAGGATTATCTTTTGTTGGAATGGAAGAGAAATAAGACATATACTAGGCTAGGCGACTGGTATAAATATAATGCTTAGGACACGACGGGTCAAGGAACAGTGACACAGAAAGGAATAAACTTACGTTAAACTTGCCAGCGCACTGACTTGTGGACAATTCTATTGAATTCGTGATGGGGTATCATGACACAAATTCCTCCGAGGCTCCTAAACGCCAGAACACAAACAACTGTAGATCAGATCCATTCAGTATTAGGGTGACCTTTCACATCTCCTGGGCCAAGCGCTTGCACATCACGAATCCTGTTGAAGGATAGCGATTCGCGAGCATGCACTCCGCACTCCGTATTCCGTAGCCACAAGCGCTCCGCCATGCTCATGATTGGAAAATGCCCATCCGCTGACTCCATCCGTCGCTCTTCGGGTTCACCAAAATCTGGTACGGGAACGGATTCGATTCCGTGGTCGTGATGGGCGGAATATGATCTTTATCCCGATTGACAATATTGACAATCTTCATCGCGGTCTTCTGCAGGGACTTCTCCATTGCTTTCCGAACCTTAATCCGATCTGCGTAACTCGAAACATCAGCTCTCCGTCTTGCGCCATTTCGTTTGCACACAGGTAATCCCAAGGACGTTTGCGATCGAACCTACCCGTCTCCGTCCGCGGTGTTCCCACCGTCACGTCCAAAATCCACCGCTCCCAACAGATCTCCTCCTCGTTCTTCCCGAAGAAAAACGCCTTCCGCCTCCGCTTCTCGTAGAACAAGATTGCTAGCTGCCCGCGGCCGCGCGACGCGGAGCCGCCCGCGGAGTCGGCGGTGTCGATTTCCCGCACGAGCGCGGCGGCACGCTGGTCGATTTGGGTCTCGAGGTCGACGTCGTCGATGGCGGGGAGGGTGAGATCGAGGAGGTCGCGGGTGAGGGGGGCTATGGGGGTGAAGTAGCGGTGGAAGAAGATGGTGTGGAGGATGGCTGGGGGGAGTTAGTACCATATATACCAGGAGGGAGAGGGAGAGTTGGGGAATTCGGGACCTTTGCAGACATCTTTTACGCAGGTCGGATCGGCGAAGACATCTAAGGTGTATTGGGGAGCTGTTGGCCGTTGTGGTTCCATGGTATGGATAATCTTCTGTAGGTCTTTATCTCCACCTAGCTGAAGGGGAGAGTACAGGTATGCAGATAAAGGAAGGGGTCCATGGGTTGGATCGAGGAGAACAGAACGAGTCACAGCATCAAATCAGGGGACTTTATCATGCGAAGTGATAGATAGATATTCACTTGTGAGTTGTAGAGGGGAGAGTGGAGGGACTACGGAGTCGGGGTGGTGGACAAAGTGGGAGGTGGGAAAAGGAAGAGGGGTGTATCAGCCACCACTCACCAGATAGGAAATTGTTAAAATGATAGGAACTAGATCACTATTATTCTAAAGGCTAGCTACATAGTTAATAGATATGCTAAGTTAGCTAATGAATAATCATAGCATGTAGACGGCTCTCGAGAAGACAGTAGAAGCTGAATCCATTCTTTGGTGCTCTCATCCAGCCACCCATCCACACGAATACTCTCTCCATTTCTCCCATCCTATTGTCCAGGTGGCTATGGAGATGTCTATTGCACATGTATGTACCTCCATGCGAATCCCAGTTAATCATACCCTAATTACCTGCCATCGTCATCCAATCCCCAATCTCTCTCGGCTGCCTCGGTGCCAGCGATGCTAGCGTGTCCATCGTAGCCGGGACCGGGGAGCTCCAATCGAATCTTGGTTTCCCATCAGAATACATTTGCGGATTCGTTACACGCGATAACTTGTGATCTTCTTGTGGTTCAACTAGACAATCAGTAATCAGTCTTCGTTTGACTTCTGGCTGATTGCACCATACCCTACTCACCTCCCAATCTCTCTCCGTCACTTCCTATCACCACAGTTGGGCCATTGCCCTCGCCACCACAACCGATGCTGTGAATCCCTTCATCATATCGTTTGCAAGGAAAGAGAAAACATGTTAGGAGCTACCCGTCGCTGGTTCAAGCGCAATCGCGCGAACCTCGCCATCGGCGCTGGCGTGCTCGGCGCAGGTTATCTAGCCGGGCAATATGTCGTATCCAAACTCATGGAGGCGAGACAGCGGATGAGCGATGACCGGATCGCCAAGGAGAAGTGCGTTCTCCCATATCTACTCTCCCGTAGTGATGATCGTGGAGTGCACTCGGTCTAACATCCATCCCAGCCTTCGAAGACGTTTCCAGCAAAACCAGGAAGACTGCTCCTTCACAGTCCTCGCCATCCTCCCCACCGCTACCGAAAACATCCTGGAAGCGCTCCCCGTCGAAGACACGCTCGCGGAGTTGCAGAAGCAGAAATCGGAGCGCATCGCGAGAAGCGGCGCGGGATCCGAGGCGGCGTCGTCGGTTGGGATCCTATCCGGGCCGGGCAGTACGACGGATGATGATGCGCGAGGAAGCCTGCCGTCTGGGAGCGAGAGCTTCATGCATACCAGCCAGCTGGAGCAGAGCATAGGGGACGGTGTGGAGGGGCGGGAAATCCCGCCGCAGCCGCTGAGGTCGAAGAAGAGCAAGTTGCAGCTGTGGGGGGACATGAAAGTAAACTGTAAGATTCCGTCACTGGATATGGAAGGGAGAGAAAACTAATTTGCTGTGTACAGCGATTGCTAGATCATTTACTCTCCTCTATACTCTGGCGCTTTTGACGCTTCTAACGCGGATTCAATTGAACCTGCTCGGAAGGAGAAACTACCTTGCCAGCGTGGTATCGCTAGCCGCTCCTCAACGACCAGAACCGCGGATTACACTCGAAGACAACGATGACGACAATTTCGAGCGGGCATATGGCAACGACTTCGAGACCAACCGAAAATACCTATCGTTCAGCTGGTGGCTGCTGCATAAAGGATGCAAGGATCTCATGGAAACGGTCATTTCCGCCGTGACCGAGGTCTTCGGACCTGTCAACCTAAGAGAAGACATCACATTGCAAAAACTGTCCGAATTGACCATCGAAGTCCGGAAGAAGGTTGAGGGTGCCACCGAGGAAGAAAGAAGGTATGCAACTCTCATCACCACAATCCGAACCTTGACTAACCCCCCCTAGAACCAAAAAATGGCTCCCCTTTCTCCTCCCCCCACCCTCCCACGAAGCCTACCTCCTCCACGAGTCCGGGATGATCTCCCCCTCCTCCTCCCCCACTACCACTGCTTCCACCCCCCTCATCTCCCCCTCCCTCCGCCGCCTCCTCGACGAAACCTCCGACCTCATCGACTCCCCCCCTTTCTCCTCTGTCCTCACCCAACTCCTCGACGCCGGCTTCACCCACCTCACCCACAACAAAATCGCTCCCCAAGCCTTCCGCATCCCCCCCGTCTCCGCCTCCGCCGAGCGCATCGTCGAGCTCGTCGACCCCGCCAACGCGAAGACCAAGATCGCAAGCACCTTGCCCGTCTACCTGCGGCAGGCGCACGCCATCGGCGCGGGCGATGTCGGCGGCGTCGGTGCGGATCAGGGTCTCGGGCTTGCGGGCGCGTTGACCGGGGTGAGTGAGGCGGGGACGCAGGCGCCCGGGTCAAATGAGTATTTGGCGGCGATGGAGGCGGTGCGCGAGTTGGAGGCGTTCGCAGCGGTGGTGTATTCGTCGAACTTCGAGTATGAGGTAGCGGAGGCGGCGCCGGAGGGGGATGTGGTTGGACGGGTGGAGAGGTTGGAGGTGCCCGGTGGGGTGGAGAGTCGGCCGAGTACGGCGGGGACGGGGATTTGGGGGATGGTTGGAGGTGGTGTTGGGGATGAGAGGAGGGGAGAGGTGGAGGAGATTGTGGAAGTGGAACCGGAGGAGGTGGTGGGTGGAGAGGAGAGTATGGTGGGTGCGGAGAGTGGGTTTGAGGCGGCGTGGGGGAAGGCGACGATGGCGAGCGAGGAAGTGATCCCGTTGGCGAAGGAAGAAGCACTGGTGGCGAAGGAGGAAGAGGTGCCAGTCCTAGTTGAGAAGGAGGTGGGACCTGAGGTCGTGGAGAAGCCTGAAGAGGTGGAGCCTGAGGTCGTGGAGCAGCCTGAGGAAGTGGAACCAGAGATCGTGGCCAAGCCTCAGGTGGAACCTGAAGTCGTGACCAAACCAGAGGAGTTAGAACCTGAGGTCGTGACCAAGCCGGAAGAGGTGGAACAGGAGGTCAAGAACGTGGAGCCAGTGGTTGTGGACAAGGAGGAGGAGACGGAGAGGGAAGTGCACGTGGTGGATAAACACGACGCGGGTAAGGAGGAACAGGAGGTGAAAGTGGAAGGTATCGAAGGCAAGCAGTAAAGAGTGATGACCTCCTTTTTCCGATTCCTAGCTCGAAGTAAACTTGAGGGATATCTATCGACGATATCTATCTACGAGTCACTCCACGGTTTAGCCAGTGGATTGGCTCTAGGGCTATATCCGACTCCTCTGTTGACTACACTTGTATCATAGACACCATACAACTATACTACTGGCAGACCTTTGCTTGATTTGTTACTTTTCCTTGAACTATTTCCTCCATCCCATCTGAATACTACCACAGGGACGGGCTCTTGGTAGGAAGATGAATTGAGATGGATGGTCACGTGGAAGAGACGTTCATCTGGAAAGGCACGCGATTCATCTTCACATGTGAATTTGCATTTCTCGAGGTGCGACCACAACATGAGACAAGTAAGACAAATGACCCACCACGTGACAGATTTTCCCCAGTGACGTCGGCATCGGATTCGGGTTCGACGTCTCCCGCCCTAGAAAACTTACCTCGGGATCTCTTGCACGCCCACTATCCCTCCCAAACAACTAACAGCCGCTATTATCTACCTTAGCACCTAGCATCGCGGAATACCCACTGCGGTACTCGGAATTGGTTGTTGCGCGGTTCTGGCCTCTGGTTAATCACGAGCTCAATCAATCCGCTTAGCCTACTTCCATCGGATCACCGACCATCCCCGAGACTCTCAGCACAGGCATTTGGCACAGGCATATGTATTAAACCTCGATAGCTCGGGTGTCCGGTTGTTTCTCTCCCCATTTGAATCAACTTCCTCCTTTTCGCATCAACCTTTTAGCTCCTCACTCCTCCATCATCGTCCTCCTCCTTCATCCCTTTCATTGTGAGCTCGGTGTTCTGGGCTACAACTTTTGGTTGAATCCAGTATACTTCCACATCCCACATCATGGCTGATCAGCTGAGGTATGACGGCCAGACCGTCGTCGTTACGGGCGCCGGTGGTGGCCTCGGAAAGGCGTACGCCACCTTCTTCGGCTCAAGGGGCGCAAATGTCGTCGTGAACGATCTGGGCGGCACGTTCAAGGGTGAGGGCGCCTCAAACAAGGTACGTCCGGAGTCTCGTCTCCATCCCGCATTCCAGACAGGATGGGTCGGTACATGACATGTGACGAGTAGCGGACTGACCGGGTTTTGTGTATAGGCTGCCGATGTCGTTGTTGATGAGATCAAGGCGGCGGGCGGAAAGGCCGTCGCCAACTACGACAGCGTCGAGTTCGGAGAGAAGATCATCGATACTGCCATTCAGGCGTTCGGCAGGATAGACATCCTGATTAACAACGCTGGTATCTTGCGAGATATCAGCTTTAAGAATATCAAGGATGAGGATTGGGATCTGATTATGAAGGTCCATGTAACTGGTTCATACAAGGTACGTGGCACTCTAGAGATAGATGGACGAAAAACAGCGGAAACTAATGTCCACTCAATAGTGTGCTCATGCCGCGTGGCCCCATTTCAGGAAACAGAAGTATGGCCGCATCATCAACACTGCGTCCGCCGCCGGTCTCTTCGGCAACTTCGGACAGACCAACTACTCGGCGGCTAAACTCGCCATGGTCGGTTTCACCGAAACCCTCGCCAAGGAGGGCTTCAAATATAACATCTTTGCCAACGTCATCGCCCCGATTGCCGCATCCCGCATGACCGAGACCGTCATGCCCCCAGAGGTCCTCGCGGTCCTCAAACCCAAATGGGTTGTTCCCCTTGTCGCCAACCTCGTCCACTCCTCCAACAAGACCGAAACTGGCAGCATCTTCGAGGTTGGCGGTGGCCACATGGCCAAGATCCGCTGGGAGCGCTCCAAAGGTTTGCTCCTGAAGGCCGACCCAGAGACGTACACTCCTGAGTCCATCCTGAAGAAATGGGATCAAGTCAACGATTTCAGCCAGGCCGACCATCCGCAGGGCCCCGCCAACTTCTTGGAGCTGCTCGAGAATGCGCAGAAGCTGCCGCCGAACGAGCAGGGCCCTAAGGTGGACCTGAAGGGTAAGGTCGTCCTCGTCACCGGAGGTGGTGCCGGTCTTGGTCGCGCATACTGCTTGCTCTTCGCCAAATATGGCGCTAGGATCGTCGTCAATGACCTCGTCAATCCAGACGATGTCGTCAAGGAGATTCGCGCTCTGGGCGGCGAGGCTGTCCCCAACAAGGCGAACGTCGAAGACGGCCCCGCGGTCGTCAAGTCCGCCATCGAAGCTTACGGCCGCATTGATGTCCTCATCAACAACGCCGGCATCCTGCGCGACAAGGCATTCACAAACATGGACGACAACCTGTGGAACCCGATCATGAACGTGCATCTGCGCGGCACCTACTCTGTCAGCAAGGCCGCCTGGCCCCACATGCTGAAGCAGAAATACGGCCGCATCATCAACACCACCAGCACGTCCGGCATCTACGGCAACTTCGGGCAGAGCAACTACGCCGCCGCGAAGTGCGGTATTCTCGGCTTCTCCCGCGCCCTTGCCCGTGAGGGTGCGAAGTATAACATCTTCGTCAACACCGTCGCCCCTAACGCCGGCACCCAGCTCACCGCCACCGTCATGCCAGAGGAGATGGTCCAGGCGTTCAAGCCCGACTACGTTGCGCCGATGGTCGCGTTGCTGTGCAGTGACGTGTGCCCCGAGCCGACCGGCAAGCTGTACGAGATCGGCAGTGGCTGGCAGGCGCAAACCCGCTGGCAGCGGACCGGAGGACACGCGTTCCCTATCGACGTGGAGCTGACTCCCGAGGAGGTGTTGAAGTTCTGGAAGCCGATCGTCACATTTGACGAACGTGCGGATAACCCGGATGACCAGCAGTCGGGCTTGGCCAGCATCATGGCGAACATGTCGAATAAGACGAAGGGTGACAGCGGCGAGAGCGAGACCAATGAGTATCTGGAGGCGCAGAAGAACGCTTTGTCCGCGAAGGCTGAGGGAACTCCGTTCGATTACGAGCAGAAGGATGTCATCCTCTATAGTAAGTTGCTACATACCCGCCACCCATACCCCATCTCTCCTCTCCCTCAACCGTTTTATATCTGTATACTAATTTCTCACCTCCAGACCTCGGAATCGGCGCCAAGCGCGACGACCTCCCGCTCATCTACGAAAACAACGACAACTTCCAAGTCGTTCCCACCTTCGGCGTCATTCCCCCTTTCAACGCCGTCTCCCCCTTCAGCATCGGAGACCTCGTCCCCAACTTCTCCCCCATGATGCTCCTCCACGGCGAACAGTTCCTCGAAATCCGCCAATTCCCCATCCCCACCGAAGCCAACCTCGTCTGTTACCCCAATCTCGTCGAGGTCGTCGATAAGGGCAACGCCGGCGTCGTTGTCTCTGGCTCCACCACCAAGGACAAGCGCACCGGTAAAGACGTCTTCTACAACGAAAGCACCGTCTTCATCCGCGGCGCCGGTGGCTTCAACGGCGCCAAGAAGGGCCGCGACCGCGGCCCCGCCACCGCCGCCAACAAGCCCCCCGCCCGCCCCGCTGACAAGGTCGTCACCGAAAAGACCACCGAGGAGCAAGCGGCGCTCTACCGCCTCTCGGGCGACTACAACCCGCTGCATGTGGACCCCGAGTTTAGCAAAGTCGGCGGGTTCAAGGTGCCGATCCTCCACGGGCTATGCTTCTTCGGGATCAGCGGGAAGCATATCCTGCAGACGTACGGACCGTTTAAGAACATCAAGGTGCGGTTTGCCGGGTCAGTGTTGCCTGGGCAGACGCTGCGCACGGAGATGTGGAAGCAGGGTGGGAAGGTGGTGTTCCAGACGACGGTGGTGGAGACGGGGAAGCTGTGCATTTCGGCGGCGGGAGCAGAGTTGCTTGGGGGACAGGGGAAGTTGTAAGTGGGTACGGATCAGAGGATCCGGTGGGCGTTAAGTGAAGACGGACGTCCATGTACCATGGAGATGAGACACGCGCAGGAAAGCGGTTCCGGTTGTACTCTTATTGGTCGAACATCTATCTTGGGCATATATGTGGTTTTTGAGCCAGCTTTGCCGTCTTTCTGTTAGCTTGTAAAAAGTTGCACACTTCTTTCCTCCAATCTACCGTTTATTTCTACATGCCTGTGTCGTCATTCGTGATGTGTCTCAACTCTTCTTAGCGCAAGTCCATGCTTCGATGTCATGAACCGCGTCTGCTAGTCGCCCAACCACTATGGCACTTGGTGGGAGGGCTGGGATATGGGACTGGAGATTGGAAAGAGGCAGTTATCGTGGCAATGGGCCAAACACGGAATTGAGGAAGCAACGTAAGGGTGCTCGACTTCGTGCCAGAATCGAAATGGAGAGTGCCGACGCGACAATGCTGACGCCTCGCATACCGCTGAGAATGTCCCTGGCGCTACCTAGGCGTAGATAGGTGCGAGTTGCCCGTTAAGTTTGGGATATGCGGAGTCATCGACTGGTAGGTATATCCGGAGTCCATCCCCGCGTGTCTGTCCAATAGTGCTGGTAGGACACATATCTCTACAGCTGCGAATAGGCACACTACCATGGAGGGATGAGCTATCTCCCCCATATCCCTGGCAGTGGTAGGGGGTTGAGATCGGTCAAACCTTTAAGGGCCACCGGTTCACCGGCTCCCCGACAGTAACGAACAGCAGCCTGTAGAAAAAAAAAAATTTAGTTGGATCTTCCAAATTGCGCAATGTTCTCGATCTACTACACAAGTGTGAATGTGTAGATGTATCTTGCATGCCCATTTTTTACAACCGTCCGTACCGTCCCGAATCGCTCCGCGGCGAGTGGTTCCACCCCATAGAAGACCGGAGAGTCCTCCGTCGTCAGATCCGGCCGCTTCATTTGAAAGCAACCAAGGCGATGATACTCCCTGGCGGACGCTCCAGTGGGTTGAACGAGAAGGCCGACAACGGAAGCGTCCAAACGTCGTAGAGTGCTCCCTACGACAAAGTTCTCGATATCTCTCCAAATCACAGGACCGTCAAGGGAAGCCCAGGACCAAGTTGGAGCGCGGTACACCTCCTGCCTTTGGATCTTATATTGGAAGTGTGGTCTCCGTAATAAATCGCTGAAGAATCCCTCCGTCCACAGTCCAGCGAGGTAGCTGCCATGCCTCCCATCTGAAGCCAAAGAATACGCGATCCCAGCAACTGCAGGGAGTTTGTCCTTTTGGTATGTGAGTGCACATGCGGTGAAGAGTTTCACGATATCCTGCCAAGGGTCACCGATGGTAATAAAATTCTCAGCTGTGGAGCTCTTCTCTGGCGTAGGTGTGTTCGTTTATAATAGTGCGCGTCCAACGGTTCCATCGGGGTTCCATGTGGAAGTACCTCGCAGGCATATGTGTGGAAACACTCCCAGAACACCTGTTGCCGAGCAAAATGAATCGAGCGTCTGCTAAGAAATCGTTCCTGAACCACCCAGCCTCGCTTGAGAAGTGGGGCGAACCCTTTGACCATGTTGTAGTAGGAGTCCGCGTAGACAAGACACGTCCTCGGGCCACTGCTTTCCCCAAACCAGCTGTGTGTGCGTGGTACGCTCACATGACAGGGCTGTAGCACTGAGGTGCTGCGTCGGAAGAACAGGCCGTGAGAAGAATTCGCTGCCCCCATTGCGGCAATGTTAAAGTAAGATCCACCGTAGACATGGCCCATCTTCTGCGATTCTATACGCCAGTCCGCAGGATCGTCCTGTAGAATACAGAGGGAGTCGATCCATATGTAGTCGACACTAAATTTCCTGGCAACAGCGACGGCATCCCGGAAAGTTTGGGGTAAACCTGTCTCTTCCACACCGGCAGCCAGGCTCGGCTCAGTGGCTATAGTTAGAGCGAGCGGCATCACTTTGCCCCAGCAATGACTCAGAGTGACATATGAAGAGGATGCGGTTTTTCCAGTGAGAGTATCACCAATTTTTGCCAAGTCATCGGTACAGTGGAGTCGAACCCGACCCGGTATCCGGATGTCGAGGAGTCGCTTTGGAAGAGTCAATGGGCCTAGTGAAGGATCACAGTAGGGATGATCGGTTGGATTGCATGCCGTAAGCCAATTCGATATCTTCTTGAACGTCCCCTCGGATTCAGTACAGCTATCTAAATTCGTGGCGACCTCCAAGTTTGGCGGACCAAGAGTATTAGTTGGTTGAGCTGCGTAGTACGTTAGTGTATAGCTGACGGACAAGCCAAGGACGTTTCCACTCAGTAACAAAACATACCACATTGTGAATCTAGCGGTACGACCAGAAAATCCATCAGTCCTACTCTGATGCCACTGAAAACATGCCAAAAGCGAAGCACTGAAGACCTTGACCTGGGCTGACTATCACCCTAAGTAGATAGGTGGGCCGTTTCCCATATCCTCCGCCACAGGTTTCGCACGACGGGAATCATTCAAGCTGATGGCGATTTCAGTTTCCAAATGGGTACAGATATAGCACCCTTGGCGGCGTGATCTCTTCACCCCAGGCAGTCCTTGTTTGAAGGCTTGACTATCCGAGCGAAATGGAACGGCGAAGATTTTCTAGCAGCATATGGTACACAGAGCACAGAGTTTTCAAGCTCTGCATTGTGTGCCCCGGTTGGGTTCTTCTTGGTCTTTGTCTCCGAACGCGAAATCCTCTTAATCAATCTTTTAGCTGGAAGAAATTCTGTCATTCTAAATCCTTGCTCATCAAACGATTATCGAGGGGCGTTCTTCGATGAAATGTTTCCAAAAGCGACGTCTTAAATAGGCAGTTGATGAACACCGGAACTGAAGCAGCATCCACCTGCGTAGCACGAAATCTATGCAATTAAACACACCTCATCTCCACGCATTGAGTGGCATAGGGGTGTTCAGGACGTCGAGCAAAGCATCCGTGCCCAACATGAAGTAGCTTACTTCAATCAACACTATCAAGTTATCTGACGAGTGCTGCCAAGCCTTGGTTTATGGTCCAGCATCTGGTCTCTGCAAGGCTCCAATCTGCGGTGGCCTTGCTGTAAGTCCGACTTGGAACTGAAGCAATAGACGGGTAGAAGAGCCGCAAGCACGCTCACAGTGCTCGCCTAGCATTAAGATGCAGATGTTGAGCTCCTCAGCACAATTGAGAAATCAGAAAACTCACGTCCTTACTCGACTTTACGTTGACCCTCTAGATGTTTGTAAATGTGAGGATAGCATTATCATATCAAAGCCGTGTCGTGAGGGGAAAATAGGCTAACTGTATATGGAAGGTAAAATAAAAAATACATCACACTAAGCATCTAGCAGCGTAATAAATAACAACTCAAAACTCCAAAAATTTCGTCGTCCAACGTCTTCCATTTCAGGAACACATTCAACCAAAATGACCAACAAAGCTTGACGACATTATGGCAGCTCCCGAAGAGTTGCAAAAGGATTTTTTGTCCTTGGACTCTTTCTCAGATGAGGAAGAGCTCAACGACGAACGCATTGCCGAGCTTTTGCTGGAAGCCGAAGCGCGACTCCGAGAAAAGGCTGTAGCCAAGTTTCCAGAGCGAGCGACAAATGCAACAGGCTCCCGGTTACCGAAGCTAAATCCTGGCTCGATCGAGAAACCGTATGTCAGTACCGATGGAGGCATTGCCAAAGCAGACTCTGCACGGCTGCTTGACCCGACGCAACGGAAGCTCGCTTCCCAAGTGCGAAAGGTCGAGGATCCGGTGATGGTGAAGAAGCGAGAGTTAGAGGTAAGTGGAACCATTTTTCTTTAAATCTCTGCAGTTGAATGAGGATAATATCCATAACATCTTGACGCATGATCTCGATCCCATTCTGGGTTCGCCGTGCACTCATGAAAGTTTGAATTCTTTTCATAGTTACTCTGACTCTTTATGCCATACTTCGATGTTTCTTCAAATTATCCTTGATGACTTTAGCTGACTGCAATCGCTAGACGAAGAAGGCCACAGCCGGTCCTGAGTGGTTCAATCTCCCACGAACCGACCTGACTCCCGAACTCAAGCGAGACCTTCAGCTTCTTAAGATGCGCAGTGTCCTTGATCCCAAGCGCCACTACCGAAAGGAGACTGGAAAATCCAAAGCCCCGGAGTTCGCGCAAGTTGGAACCATCATCGAAGGTCCGACGGAGTTCTTCAGTGCTCGGTTGACGAACAAGGAGCGGAAGAAGACCCTGGTTGAAGAGATCCTCGATGCTGAGCGCGAAGGCGGCCGGTTCAAGAGGAAATACAACGAAATCCAGGAGAAGAAAATGAGTGGGAAGAGGGGGCATTACAATGCACTCAGAGCGAAGCGAACCAAACAATTCAAGCGTCGTTGAATTTTTCTTCATGGGATGAAGTCGCCTTTCATGGTTGCGAATGCTCAACCTCTCTTGGACCTATATCCCTGGCAAACACTATTTACAATTCGATGGTATGCAGAGAACATATCACGGCTTATGTATATCAGCCAGGATTTGCTTCACGAGAGCCTACTATGGTTAGTTTTGTATTCCCAGTCAACGAGCGAAATCGTACTAACCTGCATATCTTCAGCAGCGAACCGTCCTGTCTCTAGCACCTCCTCGTGGTTGGCTTTTCCACGACCGAGGAATTCCTCAAGCTCATCCTTCCTCATCCCTTGCACTTGCGGATCGTCACCGCGAACGCCTGCCTCAAGAACAGACTTGTTTGTGACAAGGCTGAATGCGAGCACCCGGATACCCGAGTGCCTTGCAACGGTGATCTCTGGCACTGTTGACATGCCGACAACGTCTGCGCCAAGTGTGCGAAGCATTCGGCATTCTGCTCGGGTTTCGAAGCTGTGGGGAGTTAGGATACTGCCGCTGAATGGCGCTATATGTTACTTACCTTGGCCCCGCACAGAAGGCATATACGCCCTCATGTAATCGACGTGGATTGCCTGGGGTACGATCCAGGACGATTTTCCAAGCCGCATGTGCTCGTCGCCGCAGCTCGAGATCGTATGCATCCGACATTGGAGGGAAGCGAACACCGAAGTCTTCGGCATTGGACCCGCGAAGGGGATGGAAACCAACAATGCCAGCCATGTTCAGGTGCTATGTAGTTGGTCAGCCGGGAGCAATGCGAGAATGGATGAATATGTTGCTCACATCATTGAGCAGTATTATATCTCCAACATTGTATGTCTGATTGAGTCCGCCGGCGGCATTGGTCACTAGCGAGATTAGCATGAAAAATATGAGTGCTTGCTTGGCTTATCACACCTATCATGATCTCAACGCCAAGGATCTTGCAAACGCGTGTAGCATATGTTGCCACCCCCATATCGTGGCCTTCGTAGAAACTAATCAGTCCATAAGCATCGGCTGATAACAGCATTTGACTGATTGAACTGACTGTGCACGTCCAACAAGTAGAACGATCGGCGTACTCGATTCGCCTACAGTGCCGAACACAAGCTTTCCGTCATGCCCAGGAACTGTATCAATCTGTCAGGTATCCTGTACAGCCACGAGCTCCATGATCCCTTAACGATCTGTTATGGCGCCTGTTGCCGACCCAATGATCGAAGGGGCTGAAAGGCGTTGTAGCAACTTACCAGTACTCTGTGGAAATCCTGGGACATCTTGATACGGTATCTCCACCTTCAACTCCTGGTTCACGGTATACTGAAGCCCACCCAGCCCGGAGCCGCACACGATTGCTAATTTGGGGTGATGCAACGCCTCCGGCAATCGGGTTCGCAGAAGTGCAGCCGTCCCCGTCGCACGAACGAACAGTGACTCTGGTTCTGTTGCCATGGTGCGGTCAGAACTGAAATCAATAAGCCTTCAGAAAAAATAGGAATACAAAATTCCCATAAGCGACTATCAATCAGTTGATTTTACGTTACATCACTGGTATGTTACATTAATAGGTATGTCCGGAGCAGGCCGATAGGAATCTTGGTGCCTGAATAATATTGTTGTTCTGCCTTGGTGCCTAAACCTAAATCCAGATCCCTCCGATCCATCAACTCCAAGAAAATCATCGCGTTTGATCAACCACGCCTCAATTACAGCCAGATTTCCTGCAGAGGAGGTGAAATATTAGTAAAGGAGCTGCGGGGAAGTACCAATTGCTTCCGTGATGGCTTCTCCAGTGTGCTTTCGCTGCTCAATACGAGCAGCGCGGGCTGTCAAAGTACGATGCTCCAGTTTCTTGTACCGAAGAGCGCATTCTAACGAATACACCTAGATTCGACCATGGGAACTTTCTCGTCCATTAACAGCTCAATTTGCGAGTCTCTCTGTCAATAGCAATAATGGTGCAACCTCCGTTGAAGCAATGGCTGCCCAGTACGTGCTCAACGGACCGCAGCATATTGCAACTGCTTACCACCCCAGGCCCACCGCGTCTATTGAGAATGTCTCCAAAACGCCTCGGATGCCCATATCTCATCCGGACGGTCTCGAAAAAGAAACGGTGGAAACCCTCGAAGAAATGCCCATCCCGAAGAACCTCCAATCTCTCTACTTCCGCCCTCTCCGACGAGCCCCGAAATACGGCATCCCGACGTGCAACCTCCAACTCCGCTCCTATAACGTCCGGAACCTCGAGTTCTTTGCCGACTTCGCCATGCGCGCTGCCTACTATCTGGATCTGGCCGCACGAGGACCCGTCCCACTTCCCCGAATCACGGAGCGCTGGACCGTCCCTCGAAGTCCGTTCGTGCATAAGAAATCGCAGGAGAATTTCGAGCGGGTCACGGTCAGGAGGCTGATTCAGATCCAAGATGGACATCCGGATGTGGTGAAGACGTGGTTGGATTATCTACAAGAGCGGGCGTTCCACGGCGTCGGTATGAAGGCGAACGTATGGGATTATGAGAAGGTGGATTTCACCGAGGGTATGGACCGGCAGGTGGAGTTGGCGAAGACGGTGAGGAAACTGGAGGAGGCAGAGAGGACGATTGAACAGGGGTTGGCGGGATTGGCGCAGGCCGAGAAGAACATCAAAGCGGATCCGAGCGTCGGAGGCACACTCTTGAAGCTTCTGCGCCAGAAACAGAGCCTACAGTTCAAACGGGAGGAGTTGAGGAGGCTGGGAACTGGACAGGACGTTAAAGATGAGGCGCGCTTGAAGAAGCGGGCGGATTCTGTGGACGAACGGCTCCCGAAGCAGATCGTGACGACGAAAAAAGACATCGAAGCGGCGCGGAAAGCTGTCCCGGAGCTGAAGAAGAAGATCAGTGCATTGGAGGCGACGATGAAGAAGCTCGGTGATAAGGTTGGGACCACCTCTCTCGAAACACCCCAGGAAACAGGACCATCGCAGGAGGCGGTGATGGCGAAGGTCAAGGAGCTCACTGAGGAGATCGAAGGACGCAAGTGATCTTATGCAGTCTATTGGTCTGCGAGACGCGCGGGGAGAGGCGGGCATCTGCGAACATCAATGGTTAAGAGACAATATGCTATGATCTTTCGACTGGATATGCCACTCAGAGGTCGAGAAGGGGTTCGACATGCAAAAGTGAGAGGTATACCTCGAGAAGCTATTATGGGGGTTGGTTGGGGATGATTGGTATGAGCGGGGTTAGCATGCATTGGCATGAGATTGGCATCGCCCTTCACAGCTTTTATTGTAACATTTGTAACATGCGTAGGGTAGCGACGGTACGAGCAGTTGTATAGATCCTGTTAGGAGCGCAAATTGTATCATAACTTGTACAATTCATTCCATAACAAGACCTAGATACCTTCAATCACCGCTACAGGTGGCTTCGATTTGTTATCGATTTTGTATTTATCTTTAACGCTGATACTCCCATACTCGGATCAACCCACACCTCGAAGTGCCATAATCTCGCACTATTGATGAAACAATATTCACCCGTTATTTAGACACGTTTCCTATTCACCAGATAGCATCAGACATTAGCAACCCCATTTTCTTCGCTTTTCATTACTCCATCCAATGGACGACGTCATCTACCTTGATTCGCCGGTTGTGAATGGCGCTGCAGAGTCGCCGACCTCTGAAGACCATTACCTTGTCTACTTCATCTCAGGGAACCCAGGCTTGATTTCCTATTATACAAAGTTCATGTCCCATCTCCATAAACAGCTACAAAGTCATCACAAGCATGCGAGATTCACAATATCAGGCCGTAGTCTTCATGGCTTTGAGGTGCAAGAGAAAAGCAGAATAGAGGGCAAGGAGCCGCCATACAGCCTCAACGAGGTGATTGAACTGGCAGAAAAAAGTCTCCAAGATCATGCGGGGAAGGCGTCAAGTCAACTTGATGGAAAAAAACCGAAGGTTATCTTGGCTGGTCATTCCGTTGGGGCGTATATCTTGCTTGAGCTGATCCGGAGGCATCGATCCCGTCTGGCAGAAACCGGTAGCCATGCAGAAGATGAAACAAGAATAGTGGGAGGCATTTGTTTGTTTCCTACTGTGGCCGATCTACCATCGAGTAAGAGGGGCGCGATATTGAATGTACGGACGATATCAATTATCCAGCGTACACCACCATATACTAATATCCTCAGGCATTGGCCCGCTTCCACTACGCCTCCGCCGTAGCTATGCTTATACTCACCCTTTTCGCTTCCCTCCTTCCCGCCTCTCTTTCAACCTCCCTCGTCCAGCTTTTTACAGGCATGCCACCTGACTCCACCACCATCACTGCCGCGTTCATCAAGAGCCCGCATGGCGTCCGTCAGTCGCTCCATCTGGGCCTGGATGAAGTCAAGCAGATCACCACCGACAAATGGGACGCGGAGATCTGGGGCGCTGCACACCCCTCTCCCGTGGGGAGGCGGCCAAAGTTGTTTTTTTACTTCGGGGAGAATGATCATTGGGTGGCGGATCGGACGAGGGATGATTTGATTCGGATCAGAGGAAGGGGCAAACATGGAGGGGAGGAGGAGTGGAGGCCAAAGATGGAGGTGGATGGGAAGGGGATTCCGCATGCGTTTTCGATTAGTAAGTGGTGGATGGTTGTGATAGAGGAAGAGCTGACTAGAAGTAGGGCATGGCATTCCGATTGCGGAGAAGGTCGCGGAGTACGTGGGTGAGATTGTTCAATGCGAGAGGCTTTGGGATAGAACACGGACTGGGCATACCTCGGGGCTTAGAACCATTTAACAAGACTAGATGAAGAATATATCCTATTCCGATAGACATGTCTAGGCTCTAATCGCTGACATTAACGAACAGACTCTCGACTCCGCATACCTCGCGGACTATAGACCCAACTCGCTCAATCAAGTACGATAGTCCCCATTGATCGTTACATACTCATGACTAAAATCACAAGTCCAAAACCTGCACTCACCATCCCTCCCCTGTCCATCCTTCCCCAGCCTCACCAAAATTTCCAGATCCTCCATCTGCAAAATCTCCGCCGCCCGCGCCTCATCCACACTCTCAGGCTCCCCATCCACCAACAACTTCAACTCCGGGCTTCCGTCCGTCGGCACAAAGCTCACGCTCGTCTGAGCCGGGATGACCGAATCTTCCGTCGAGCTTAACCCGGCCGTGTAGCCCGTCGCGCAGAGGATCCTTCCCCAGTTCGCATCTTTGCCGTAGAGCGCTGTCTTCACTAGTGGCGAACGCGAGATGCTGGAGGCGACGAGGTGCGCATCCGTGTCATTTAGCGCATTGACCACTCGGATCGTGACGAACTTCGTGGCGCCTTCTCCATCACGAACGACGAGTTTCGCGAGATCCGCAGCGAAGTTCGTAAGGGTAGTCTGCATAGCGTCGAAATTGGCACGAGATTCGGACGATGCGCTCTCAGATGGAAGGTCGATCGTCGAGCCGCCAGCTGCGCCATTAGCGAGTAATGCAACGGTATCGTTCGTGCTCGTGTCGCCATCGATGGAGATGCTATTGAAAGACTTCGCGATGGACTGGCTGAGGAGGGCTTGGAGAGCAGGAGGGGTGATCGGAGCGTCTGTACAGAGGATTCCAAGAAGGGTGGCCATATTAGGGTGGATCATGCCGGCACCTTTGGTCATGCCGGCAAGGTGATAGGTCTTGCCTGGGCTTGACGGCAGCGTAAAGGGACGGGAGATCAGCTTGGGGAACGTATCCGTCGTGCAGATGGCGCGGGCAGCTTTCAACCAGTGATCGTGCGTCTGGCCCAAATTCGAGTGAGCGGCTGGTATTGAGTTGATGATCTTTCGTATGGGCAGCCTTTGTCCGATGACGCCGGTGCTCATGACGACCGTCCTCGAGCCTTTCCCGTCATTTCCGTGCTCCTCGAAACATTGATCGGTCTGCTCTCCCATCTTGGTTGCGTCCTCAATCCCACCTCTTCCTGTCACCGCATTCGCGCATCCTGAATTGATCACCACAGCTCTTACGCCACTTCCGGCTCTGCGCTTCAGCATGTCCCTCGTCACCGTGACCGGCGCGGCTTGGAATTTGTTGGTAGTGAATACCGCCGCGGCAGAACATGGCGACGATGACGTGATCAACGCAAGATCATCAAATCTGGTATTTGAGGCCTTAACTCCCACATGATGCCCGGTTGCGTAGAATCCCTTTGGATATGTGCCGGATATCGGCACATATTTCGCCTTTGATGCGGGGAGGTTGCCTTCTCCCGGTGCAGCATAGTATCGGACAAAGGTTTTCTGTATGGCAGCGGAGAAGCCGCGGCAACCTGGTCGAGCCATGTTCGCAAAGATCTGAAGGTTCAAGCTTCAATTGAGGAATTGCGCGGTATTAAATAAGTATTTCGAACTCTGGTGACTCTTATTCGGTGGACCGTGGAGGTGACGTTTATGCGCGTCTGATTGGCTGAAGACCCTGTTGCTGGGTGGACGACAAAGCTTCGTGGAAATGGTAGTCAAAGGAACAAATTTCCAATTCTTCATGAATCAAAAACGATCTTAGTTTTAATTAGGAAATATGAATTGCTACTCGTAAGCCTGTTCTCGGGGGAATACAACGCTTATCATGCTCTCTTTCTCCGCACGAAAGATGGTATGGCATATCCAGATTGTCCAACATGCCCCTATCTCCTCTTGACTCCTTCGTCCTTGCATCGCTCCACTCCAATACCTATGATACCTCAAAGGAAAAGGAGTGAGTCAATCCAGTGCCCTCTCTCCGCATCCCCTGTTCTAGAAAGAAAAGATCTTTTGGATTGAAGCGCGGACCTTTCCCGGTTTCAGGTCCCGTAGATCTATTTTCGCCATGTGTTTAGTTGCAAGGCAAACCAGCAGTTTATAGCTATGGGGTTCAAATTCCATAGCTACAATTGGTTCAGAGACAGAATCACGCGGGTCGTGGAATTTTCCTTTGATCCACACGCGAAGACAGCCTGTCCCATTGTAATCGTTCTTGCATCCACGTCTCCAGGCTACCGCGAAAATGTTGCCATCGAACGATACTGCGGAGGCAGAAATGTGCTCCTCGGGGTCGATACGCCATTCTGCAACTCTCTTGCCCGCTCGAATAATTTTGATATACGGTCTCGTAACGGTTATATGATTGCTTAGATCCGTGGTGGGGGCGAAATTGAACGATGTCATGAAAGTGTTCCAGTGCCATACCCGATCCCCTGAGGGCACGTTGTATACGCCGGAGTAGGATGGCCCGCAGACTGCCACTTGATGGCCTTTGGGTGATAGTTCTAGCTGTTTGACATTGCTGTCCGGGTCCAGCTTGATAACAGTGCAGCCTGAAGTCGCAAATTCTGTCGCGTCGACGCTCTGTTGCTCGTTGAACCAGACAGCAAGTTGGGTTTGCCCAAGGCCATCTTCGTCGGTTTCTGGAATGTGGAATACCCCAGCAAGAGCGGAGCCATCGTTTTCGGAGAATGCGAGTAGCTTGAGCTTTACGTCCTTGCTTGAGTCACCCGCTGTTGCCGGCTGAAATTCAAGTGTGCAAATATGTTCTGTAGGCAATCCCCAGATAGTCAATCGGACTTCCCCTGGGAGCTCCTGCGCAAAGGCGGCCAAAGAGAAGGATCGAGAGAGTACAATCTGCGAAGCCTGAAGGTACTCTTGTTTATGCCAAATGAAGCTGCGCTCCGTTTTTTCTGGCTCCAGATCAGAATACAACGTTTCAGTGCTCGTCCACTGTAACCCAGTGGCATATTGAGCAAAGCCGATTTCGATCGATCGATAGATGATGACCTGATGCGCAGTCGCAAAGTTTAACGCAGTGGTTCTTGCAACTCTAGCTGCACGCGCACCCGTAGCTCTCACGATAAGTAAGGATGGGTGGCAGTGCCTTGCGATGCGTTGTCCCGATCTGGCGATCACGGTAGATGTCCCAGGAACGAGAAGGCCGTTGCTCCAATAAAAAGAGTATGCATCGTTACCCTTTTGTTCTACCCAAGAAGACTTCAATTCGGCAACATCGATGACTCGGCAAATATCACGCCTCGCGCCGTGCTCTTCATGGAATGGTGTCAAGATGTTTTGTTCATGATTTCTCCACGAATTTTGGGCGTCTAGATCTCGCTGTTGTACGGGGCGAGGAAAAGTGTCCTGATCTTCGCCTGGAGTAGAACCTTTTGGGACTGGCGGTAGTCGTTTGATAGGAAGGGATAGTGTGCTAGACGAGCCTTCCGTTTTTGAGTTGCTCCGTTCCAACGGAGACCCAGGTACTAGGTCTCGACTTATGGCTGCAAGTTTCGCCATCCGGTCATCTCCGGTTTCTTCTTCCTCGTCCGCTGCCGTCACAATAGGGCCAAGTTCTTTATTTGCCCTAATTCCCTGTGAAGCGGCCTTGATTTTGTCATTGGACAGTGTTGATGGTGATGGTATCTTATTCCTCTCAGGGCTGTTCTCCCCATCGACGTTCGGATCCTGGGATGGAATGACAAGACAGTTCCTCTGCCAGATCCAGCCAAGACGCTCCTTGCAATCTTGATTCCGTGCCAGCCAAAGGTCATCTTGTTCGCCGAAGATGTCGAAGATCTCGCCCGCCTGGTGTTTAAGGAAGGGGACTCCTCTATGAGAGCGCTTCTCGGGATCGAACGGTCGTATGCTTGCCACAACATTCAAAATTCTTTGTGGAGGAATGGACTGGATATCACGGTTGGAGGAGACATTTGATTTGCCTTTGTTTGGACCCGAAGTGGTCTTGCTTGGAAAATACGGTGGTGACTCGCCCCGTGCAACAGGCTCCGACCGGATACTGCGTCCCTCGCTACTCACAGAGTCGCTGACTCGGTGGACAGGGGATTCCGTCGGCATGTTGCGGGTGGGAGACTTTGTGGACTCTATCTCCGCTGTTGCTTCAGGTACGTGTTTGGAGGTTTGAAGTGTCGGCTCAGATGAGATTCTATCGATCTTATTGCCAGTGCGAGTACTTTTTGTCGCAGCCAGCTCGGCCATCAGTATTTCGTGGGCATCCTCTTGAACTCTTGCTGCTTGCCCCTCAACGCGAGGTTCCTGTTTTGGCCGTTCATCATTCGCTTCATGGACCTGAGACTCCAATGGTCCGTATGGGTTTTCGAGTTCTTCAAACGGTTCCACCTCTCTTCGCAAGACTGCTGACTGGAAATTACTCCTAGCCATGTCTCTCTCTTCTAGTGGATTTGCCGTTGGCAAAGGAGGAACAGGAGGGGGGGCATTAGGCATCGGAGGGGAAGAACCGATACCCAATGAATCATTATTAGCTCCAAACTTGAATTGTTCTTCCCGAAGGGCTCGGGCGTCACGCGAGGTTTTGAACGAGTTATCGCAGAGCTCCTGTAATTCATGACTATATTCTTTGGTTGGCGCCCCCGTCGTTGGCTTTTGATCGACGTTATCATCACCTAGGTGGATGAGGAGGTCTTCGTTCTCTTCCGATACGGGTGGAGGTGAGGAGCCACCAATCCGAATTTCTTTAGTACCTCTGCCGCTGCTACTACCAGATCTCGTCGAGAGCTGCTGGTCAAACGGGAAATATTGGGACCGTTCATGTAAGGATTTGGCTTTTGCTATCGTACTCCATCGTCCAGAAGACTCGGGAGAGACCTCCTCCGAAGTATTCGGCGTGTCAAGCAAAGTCAGAGACCTGTAAGGATGATCAGTATTATTACAAATATTTATGACTGCAACCAAAGCCTTACTGAACTGACTCCAGCGGCATGAAGTCCGAATCTATGTCAGCGAAAGGTCTTATCCAGTCGTGTGATAGGGCCTGGTCAACTTTGAGCCGCTTCGTCGGGAATGGATGCATAACTGAGACTATGAATGATTGGCCATGATTGCTGACTTGATATGCCATGAGCCGATCATTGGGGTATTCCACATCGCCTCTGCCGTATTCAAGCTTGGTGCTGGGCCGATCGAAAACCGCTTCCTTCGTAAGCATCTGGTGTGCAATCTCCCCCAATGCCCACATATCGGCGGAATAGGCGTCGTATGACGGAGTCTTTCCGGCATCAAGAACTTCGGGGGAGAAAAAGGCTACCGTGCCGGCTAAGATGGAGGAGATACCCTTCCCATCTGCAATTCGTTTAGAGATTCCAAAGTCCGAAATCTTCACCCACCACTGATTTGGTGGTTCAGATTTGATGAGGATGTTCTGGGGTCGAGAAGTCATTAGAAGTGTTCAAAAAAGGGGCAATTAGAGACCAACCGCGGGCTTCAGGTCACGGTGAGCAAAGCCATTGTTGTGCATGAACTCAAGCCCCTCGAGGAGTTGGAAAGAGATCTCACAAGCTTCATGTTCCGGCAATGTCGCAGCGTTCCAAAGGTAGCTTTGGAGATCCCCATATTCTAAGTATTCCATTGCGATGAACAGTGAGCCAACCTCCGGCCCACCATACCAACCGGATGCCTTCACAAAACATCGTTCGTACTGCATTCGATTAGCATTTGCCTCCTCTATATTGATCTCGTTGGATAGTGTGTACAAACCTTTGGATGGGAAAATTTAGCAATCGCTTCCAGTTCTCTACCGTAATCAATACCAGTGGCTGAGGGGCCAGTCAGAAGGTCGATCTGCTTCACCGCCCGGAACTTTGGTGGCCCATGACCCTGACTGACAAGTCGCTCTTTGAAAACGGACCCGAAGGCTCCTCGACCAAGTGACGCCTCCCTCCGCCAGTATTCTCTTTTCGGTTTCGCGCGTCGAGAATGACTCGAATCCGGTACGATATGGAATGTATACCCAGCTTCGACGCCCGTTGGGAGTTTGAACTCAGTGACAGCCTCAGTAAGGCCAGAGAATGTTCGCTCAAGCGCCATGTTAATAGATTCTCTGCATCCTCAAACCCCTCTTAAAGTATCTCTAAGTGTAAGTGATGATAGATCTACAAATCTTCGAGGAGTATCACATCCGAAATCTTAGTATTGAAGTTTGTAAGGAGTAGCCTCTGTCGCCATATGGTCAAAGTGAGCTGAGGACATTTGTAGCAACTGTATTCGGTGTTCGATGATCGTCCGGTAGCTGCAACTCTGGAGTTATCTAATTATTCCCGTCATACACCAGAACACAATCGGAGGCGCTTCCTGTAGCTGACGGCTATTTCGGACCCCCACCATCGACCTCTCATACACCCTCTTTCCGCTTCTGCGATATCATCCAGCAGAATACGAACTGCTGGATATGTCGCCCTCTTATTGGGGGAAGCTCCTGCAAGGCTGAGAATGTGGAGGCTGTGTGCATACTGATTCCGACTCGTGAAACCCAATTGATAATCACGCCAGCAAAACGATAATTGCTTACCCCCCAAACCTCCATTGGATGCCCATGGAGTGACCAGAACAGGAAGCCAACAAGTCGAAGTGGTATTTTTGGCCAGACTCCGGGCCGTTTTTGACTCTACCATTTTGAGCCTCAAGCCGAGCATATATGGTGGATTAGTAACCATCTAGACGCTAGTGCAAGCCGCCCATGAGGGACTGTGTCGGCAAGGCTGGAAGCTAATCGCTCGATTCATATGTACCGAACGCTGAACTTTCTTGTACCATGATGAAACACACTTTCAAAAAAGGACTGCGGCACTGAATTTAAGCAAACGATTGCAATACACGTTTGGAGCCTTCTTGAGGTCGGAATAAACAACAATGTCAGGCGTCGAATTCGGTCTGGCTGTTCTAGCTGCGGTTGATATTAGTATTCGGTAAGCAATCTACAGCTGCGTACCAAGCCAGTCCGGCGCTCAATGCCTCTCAAATAGATACGGAAAGTCTCTAATCGAAATTTGCACTGCTTTCAAGAATGCCGAAATCGATATTGCAGAGAAATGTCTGCAGGTCAGATACCATTGCACCCGGATCGTCACTCAACTCCAGGTTCTGAAGAAAGTTTCGAGCCTCGTCAGCAAGGATCAACTGAGAATACATGAAGATATGCTTCTTGTGCTGAAGAGCAAGTTGCAATTAGTTCAAAGCTTGTTGGATAGTTGCGTGAAAGTTGGACCAAATGGCAAGCAAGAAGTAAAGAAAAAGAAATTTGTACTATTCAAGAGAGACACTTTGCAAAAAGCAGTCGACGAGCTGGAAGCCTGGGAGAGCAAATTTGATCCGCTATGGTTTTTGATGATGAAAACAAACGTCCCCGAAATCGACGACGCTCTGAAAGATCCTACCTCAATAGAGGGCGGGAATAAGCGCCCGGTCAGCCTCGCTCAAGATCTTCGTAGAGCTCTAAACAGCAACTCCGATAAGACCTCCGGCATTTTCAAACCTCAGAGCGGTCTCGACTCCGCTGAAATCGAAGATATTCAGAATTCGTCCGCTAAAATCGCTCAACGCCCCGGATCCCACAACCGCCTCGTTCTTGATCGGGTCATTCCTTATGCGGGATGTGATACAGTCATCATGAAAAAGGACATTCGTGACTTTGCACGAAAGTTGTTCCACGCGGATCCATTGGCGTTTGGCCTGTTGAGTTGTTATGGAGTGGTTCAGAACAGGGATGTTCCAGGCTCCTTCACAATTGTTTTCCGCATCCCGGAAGGTTCTTGGAAGGCAGACAGTCTTCGAAGCTATTTGATCGCCGGAGAGACAGAGCAGTCTTACCGAAAGAGACAAGCTTGCGAAAAGTCTCGCAAAGTCTGTTTCCAACGTTCATGCATTCGACTTTGTCCACAAGAACGTCCGACCAGAAACGATCCTGATTTTGTCGGAGGCCGATGAAGAGATCGGATTAGCATATCTTGTCGGTTTCGAGTCCTTCCGGATGTCTGAAAGGAGGACTTACCGACAGGGCGACATGAACTTTGAAAGAAACTTGTATAGGCATCCGAATCGACAGGGCCTAAGTCCAATAGAGGGCTATTCCATGCAACATGATATCTATAGTCTGGGGGTTTGCCTTTTGGAGATCGGCCTCTGGAAGACATTTATCGAATACGATGAAAAAGGCAATCCCCAACCTTCAGACATTCTTCAACTGAAGGAAGCTGCTCTTGGTGTTTCTCAAGCGGTACGTTTAAAGGAGAATATGGTTTCGCTTGCGCGAAAACAGCTGCCACGTTTCCTAGGTACCACATACTCAAGCATCGTTATAACTTGCTTGACATGCCTAGATGAAGATAATGACGATTTTGGCGACGACTCAGAGTTCCAGGATGAAGATGGCATCACGGTAGGAGTTCGATACACGGAAAAGGTGAGCCAGCACCTCAATCTGACACTGCAATTTGAAGCGTTTGCTAATCATCTCGAAGATCATCATGAGACTAAACGACATCTTCGTATGATAGACAATATATAGCAGTTCCATTTGAATAGCTGTGAGCAAAGAGCAAGACTAAAGTGTAGAAGGTCGAAGGAGGTGAATTGTTCACGGGTTGCCCATACAAGTAGTCTATTGGATGGCAAGAAAGGTATAACGATGTAGAATCTAAGGAAATTGACTGTGAAGATGCCTCGTGAATGACTCTGGGATTGTGATGCTGAAGCTGTGAATGCTGCCCGACATCGACATCGAAATTTCGTAGAAAAAAGAAAGAAAGCCTTCGTGCTTGTGGCCTCAGGCATGAAGCGCTCCCAACGTCATCAAGACCTGATTGGTCAGCTCAACCTCAGACGTCCAAGTCGAATATCTTCTGTATCTCGAGTTCGCCTGCCAAACTTTTGTTTTGCAATAGCGATCGGATGAAACATACTGGCCACCCTTGGTCCTACCTGCAATTCTGATATCATATCCAGAATTGTAAAGATTTGAAATGGATAGCAACGACGCTATCGAGAATGAGTCGGAGGCCCTCCGCCAATTCCTGCCCGGTGGGTTTGGAAAGCAGATAACCACTGTTAATGTCGAGGCTCAATTTGAGCAGTCACGGCGAATAGTTCAAATCACAGGGAAAGGGCAATCACGGAAGCCGAAGCCTCCATCTCGTGATTCAGATGAGGATGAGGACGATTCCGACGAGGATGACGAAGATGAGGAAGACGAGTTTCCCGTCTCCCACGAGCTTCTGGTCAAGACGCACGAGAAGGCTGTCACATCAATGGCATTGGATACGTCAGGTTCGAGGCTTATCACGGGGTCATTAGATTGTACATTGAAGCTTCATGACTTTTCTTCAATGACACCTACTACTGTTCGCGCATTCAAGTCCGTTGATCCTACAGCCACCAAGGCCTCTGCAAGTTCAGAGACACACCCTATTCATTATGTCGCTTTCAACCCCTTTGCACCGAGTCAAATGTTGGTCGTCTCCGCCACATCCCAACCAAGGATCCTAGATCGAGATGGCGAAGTGCTCACAGAGTTTGTCAAAGGAGACATGTACCTGCGAGACATGCACCACACAAATGGTCATACCGCAGAAATCACAGGCGGTGCATGGCATCCGACAAATGCAGAGTCGTTCGTCACTTCCAGCGCAGATGGCACATTGCGTATCTGGGACGTTAACAACAAGCGCAAGCAGAAGGAGGTAATCGTTTTCCGTTCGAAAGCACCTGGGTCTGCTGGACGGACGAAGATGACGGCAGTATGCTGGGGTGCTACACCGGATGGAGGCCAAAGTAACCTAGTCGCTTCCGCGCTTGATGGTTCTTTGGTTATGTACAGCGGAAACGGGCCGCATACGCGACCAGCCGCCGAGATCAGAGATGCACATACACCTGGAACTTGGACGAGTGGACTTGACATCAGCTCGGATGGAAGACTCGTGGTCACAAGAGGAGGCGACGACACTATCAAGCTTTGGGATACGCGTAATTTCAAGCAGCCAGTGAACATTGCGAACCACACGTCAACCTCCACAACATTCCCTACAAGCAACATCCGATTTTCTCCCACCTCCGCGAACGTCATCACCGGCTCCGAAACGGGGGACCTATATATCCTCAATCCCGCCACGCTCAGACCCGAGCTGGTCACTCCAGTCACCCCAGGCTCGCCACTCATCACCGTCCAATGGCACAGCAAGCTCAACCAGATTCTCACCGGCTCTGCCAACTCCGAAGTCCATGTTCTATTCAACCCGACCCTCTCCACCGCCGGCGCCAAATCCGTCATGATGCGCGCCCCCAAACGTCGCCACATCGACGACGACCCCAACAACGTCATGGACCTCAGCCAAGGCCTCTCCAGCGACGCGATCGTCGCTCCAGGCGGCATGAAATCCGGTTCCCAATCCGCCATGTCATTCGCGGCACGGCATCCGAACGTCGGGCTCACGGCATCTGGGCGTTCGAGAGATCCGAGGAGACCGCATATCCCCGACACGACACCGGGCTCAAAAACCCAGCCGGATGAGCAGCATATCAAGAATAGCATACCGCTTAGCGCAATGCGGGATGAGGATCCCAGGGAGGCACTGATGAAATATGCGGATAAGGCGAAGAATGATCCGATGTTTACGAAGGCATGGAAGGAGACGCAGCCGAAGACGATTTATGCGGATTTGAGCGATGAGGAGGAGCCGGAGAAGAAGAAGGCGAAGAGGTGAGGGGGTGTCGGAATGCGTGGAAGCGACATATCGGGCGAAGTCGCCGGTTTGTTCGGATGAGAGGGTAGGATCTGCGCAAGCCGCATGGAGGTGGACAGAATGTGGAGAAGGGGAGAGTCAATATGGTCACCGTTGCGTCCTGTAATACAGGTAGCTTCTCCCTTCCCATCTGGATATATATCCTTGAAGCGGACTAGAGCTATCCTAGTGCAAGGATGTCTCGAGGCAATACGCAAATTGGGCGATTGGACCAGGGAAGCTGCTAACGGAGCTCATGAAGGTGCTGAAAGAACCTCTCTCTGTAACAAACCGCGGTTAGAAATACTCAAATCCCATCTACGGGTACTTGCTTACCACAAACGACTCCAACCCTCGCTCAAACAACTCGTTTGCAACACCCATTCCCCCGGGATGCTCTGCTGGCGACAGCGGATTCTTCACCACATACTCGATATACAGATTCAGCCAGATCTGATGAAGCGCAGCCCGTAGATTCCCGGTGCGCGTATCCGTCAGCATGACAAACTTCAGCCGTGTCAGCGTCTCGAAGTAGTGGAGTTTATATTCGTTGGTGCGGAAGTTCATGAAGCTAGAGTATCGCGTTTGTCAGCTCTGTATTCGTATGCTGATCTAGCCGTGTCGACGACCATGCCGTGACCAATCGCGCAATTATAGCGCATTTGATTGCGACGTACAAATTGTCTTCTCCCCCGAGGTTCCGACACATGTTCCGCAACGAGAACACGACGCCGAACACAAGCTTCTCGTCATCGGATTTCTGGTTCGTTCGGCGGGTGAGTGGTTGTGCGGATTCGCCGTTGGTGGCTGCGCTGGAGGTGGATTGTGGTCGTGGCTTCGCAGTCGAAGCGGCCACAGGAGGGGGCCATTTCTTGCTGTAGATGCATTCGGCTTGAAGAGCCCATTAGTATTCTGGAATATGCGAAAGGTGGGTGTGCTGGACGTACTGTGCCGGTCGAATATATAGAACGCGTAGACGACCATGATGTGAACGTGTCCTGTGAGATAGGCTTCGGACAATATGAAGGAGTCAATGGGTATAAATAAACAGTAGCCGGACAAGAGTCTTCGAAATCTAGGGCTTCCGCTATGTGTATGCCTTTCGCAAGTATGCGGAATTAGAGAAAGGAGCGAACGATGTTAAAGGGGACCGGAGGATCTTGGAATTCCGCAAGGATTATCGGCTTTGGCGGGGGAAACTAAAAGGTCGAGAACAATGCGATGCAGTCCTATGAATATTGGCGCTTAAAAATGCCGTCTCTTATACCGTAACCTAATAGTGAACGTTATTTGGCCCTCCTAGTTTGACTATATATGTCCTGTTACGTTTATCCAGGACGTATCTGATATCGTCCATATTTCGTCATGGGTGATACATCAGCCAGCGAGCTTGACCGACCTGGTACACTACCACCCGCATCACCAGTTCCGCTCGCCCATCCACCTCAAGTCAGCAATGTTCGAGTGCAGAGAACAGAGCAATCCAAGTCTACACAAGATTCGCAGCCCACAGAGCGGATCCATTCGCAGGGAGAAGCCCGGATATTACATCCCTCAGGCAGCGCCTCGCTGGCTGTTCCTACAACCAGGGACGATGACCACCGTCCCGTGATACGGCATACGTGAGTGTTTATCACATATATTGGTCAGATCGGACGGGAATTGATTCTTGTTATAGATCCGAGCCCACATTCCACAGCCCCTTACGGCAACACCGGCGACATGTATCGTCAACAAGGAGAATCAAGGTGCGATACCACCTTCCTACGATGCAGCATGTCGTCTAATGCGATATAGGAGACGCTCAATGCCAGATCGGAGCACGAAAGCAGCGGCGAAGACGGAACTGTACAACATCGAATCAACCAATATATCATAGAGCAAGAGATTGGGCGTGGATCGTTCGGTTCTGTACATTATGCGATTGATCAATTTGGGAATGAATATGTGAGCGCCCCCTTGTTCGAAGTATCTTTTGTTTTGCTACAGGCATCTGCGGCATGGGGTAACCATAGACGGAAGTGTTTGGCAAATAGGTTGGCTAATGCTTAGAGTACAGGCTGTCAAGGAGTTCTCGAAGTCGAGGCTACGAAGGCGGAAGCAATCGAATCTGTTACGAAGACCCAGAGGACCACATGCCCGCCGAGGGTTCAACCTGCCGTTTGGTCATTCTCAGAAGGGGGATCCGAATTCCCTCGATCTAATTCGGGAAGAGATTGCCATCATGAAGAAGTTGAATCATCACAACTTGGTGTCCCTTGTGGAAGTTCTGGACGCCCCGGAAGAAGACTCGTTGTACATGGTTATGGAGATGTGCAAGAAAGGGGTCGTGATGCAAGTTGGGTTGGACGAGGTAGCTGACCCGTATGACTCAGAGACATGCAGATGTTGGTTCAGAGACATGATCTTGGGCATCGAATATCGTGAGCCAACAGTACCCTCGCATAAAGTACTCCGCTAATACTTGGACCTAGTCCACGCTCAAGGAGTCATACACAGAGACATTAAACCAGACAACTGCCTGATCGATAAGGACGACGTTCTAAAAATCGTCGACTTCGGCGTGTCCGAAATGTTCGAGAAAGACCGGGAAATGAAAACCTCAAAGTCTGCAGGATCTCCGGCGTTCATGCCACCCGAGCTATGCGTGCCGAAGCATGGCGAAGTGTCAGGGCAGGCAGCCGACATATGGTCCATGGGTATCACACTATATTGCCTGCGGTATGGCAAAATTCCTTTTGAGAAAGGAGGGGTTTTGGAACTGTACGATGCAATTCGAGATGATCAGGTTGAACTTGGCGACGACTGTGATAAAGACTTCCGTAACATGATGAATTGGATACTCGACAAAGACCCAGCGAAGCGGATAACCATGGATGAGCTTAGAGTAAGTCGCATATCATCTTAAGGCTAGCGAAGCATTAATTCGTATAGGAACATCCATGGGTCACGAAACGAGGAGTAGACCCCTTACTACCGAAGGAGGAAAACATAGCGACTATGATTGAGGATCCGACAGAGGAGGAATGGAATGCTGCCATCACGGGAAACATGACACATCTTCTCACCGTGATGAAGGCAGCAAAGCACTTTAAGAAACTCCTTTTTCGGAAACGCCCCGAACTCATGGAAGGCATCTTCGGCCGCGCCTCACATATCGTCCAGCCCCCCCTCTCGATCGGTGCAACTGATCGGAGACGGAAGTCGAAAAGTATGGATGTGGACGACCGCGTTGCCGTGGCGGCGGCGCTCGCCACAGAAGGCGTGCATCGGGACATCATCATTTCGGACGATCTGAAGCGAATGCCGAATGAAGCGGATAGAATCGCAGCAGTAACTCGATTGGAGGAGGAACGGCACAAAGAAAGCGCAAAGCCACTTCTTGGTTCGGAAGACGCGAGAACATCCGTACCTCCAGAGGGGTCTTCTTCAATTACTGCAACGTCAAGGGAAACTTCACGGCAGACGTCGAAATCAAGGGATCAAGATGAAGCATTGTATCCTCCACGACAAGAGAGACCACATGGTAAAGGCCATGCGCACGATTTGCTTGAAGATCTCCTCTTTCTGAACATCGGTCCCGGGCTTCACTACACCGAGCCTACCCCAGGGCTGGACCAGCCCATGAGCAACGCTCCAATCTCTAGCAGCCCATCGTCCACCTCACTCCCCTCAACCATCCCTCATGTACGCTCCAGCCACATCCGCATCCTCTCCGACTCCCCTCCCTCCACCGATTTCAACATCTACGAAGATGCCTACCACAAAGAAGTCACTCGCATCCTCCAAGACCGCCGCGATCGCCAACCGCGGCTCTACCTGACGCGCCGCGTCGAGGCGAGCAAACGGCTGCGAGAAGATCGGGAGTTGGCGAAGACCTTCGTGAGTGAGGTGGCGGAGAAGAGCAAGAGCTTGTTGAGCGAGGCGCTAGGGAGGCGGAAAGGGGCAGGTGGGGATGCGGGGAACGGCGGTGATGGGATGGCAGAGGCGGTGGAGCAGGTGAAGAGGAAGGCGAGGGAGGACGTACAGGCTGGGGTTGCGGATGGACGGGATGGGGTGGTGAAGGCGGAGCAATCAGGAGACTCTATAATGGAGGATGTCCAGCCGTAGGCGACGTGGTGAGGGAGTATTTTTATATGCTACATTCTAGCAGCAAGTGAGCGGAATGAGCGGAATGCAAAAACGCATCAACAACGCGGGTATTGAGTAGATCTACTACCCCTACATCATGAATACCTATACTGATATTGCTTTCAAGTTCACGTTAGTCACTCACCATGACCAGACAGATTACTTCGGCCCCAGAGTCGCACGAAACACTGATACCAACTGGGCCCAGCAACGCTTCTACGATATTTGAGCTACTCTTTGTCGCCATGTCCCCCTCAGGCTGTGTCTATGTCTATGCCATCAATGTGATGCATTCCTCCTAAGGTCTCCTGGCATGAGCTGACCGTCGACAGCACTTATTCAGCCATCGTTATCGATGGGCCGGTATTGGTGCTGAATTCGGTGGATCGCCACTGAACTCACTGACAGGTATCCATCTTCTCCCGTCCCGTCCCTGAAACGATGAGATGCATGAACTACACAGGGCCATGTTTGAACCGTCCATGGTATAAACGGGCCCCAAAAAAGTGTCGTCGTCTGCTCTATGAAGGGGAAATCTGCAACACCGCTCCTCGTTGTGACCCGGCCCCTCATAGTGTACTGAAGTTCAAAGCCTAGTGAATTCCGCAGCGGAAATGAATTTCCTCGAGACGAACTATGGTAAGGCGAGGAGCCCGGATAGTGAGCGGCATGCTATTCTAGTACTGTATATTCAATGCAACTAAACATTGACTATGACAAATACCAAGAAGCTGCTCTGGGGAGGCTCGAGTTGTGTGCTCAGGGGATAGAGGACTGTATGTCACTAAATCTTATCAAACCGGGAAATGAATCTCTCGTGTGTCATCATACAATGAGTCGATCCAATCGGACAATCCATGCGATTCGCAATAGATCAGTCGCCCCTGCCCGTCAACGCGGGTGATTTGATGAAGTCCAGGGACTCATTCGTGAACTGATTACCCCTGGAGATTGCGTGGAGGGAAGCTTTATGGGTGGTGAAGGAAATGTCTCAGAATCAGCAGGCCCGGCCAACAAGAAATATCTTGACAGGTAATATGAATTGACGGAAGAATAACGGAGACCTTGTATAGTGATAGATTGAGTGGGAGAAGCGGCACAGCATCTCGTCACTCGGACTCCGCTCCTGAAGAGGAAATCTCGATGTACGGATAGTCACATGCCAGGATTCGGGTTTACGCTTTATACGTCGTTCACAGGATGAAATAGGTAGATTAATCTATAATAGACGGTAGCAGGATGATGAATGGATCATAGTCGTTGTTCAATCAAGAATACGTATCAAGACATATTGGTATCACACATCATGCGGGAAGATGGAGGCTAGGTCAAGCAGCCGATGTAGCAGGCTTCTCCCTACCCTCATCTTTCCGGAACGATGGTTCGATCGAATATTGCAGCGAGTGACGTCTGGGATCAACTGCGAGGACCAATTATGATCACACTGGGTTGAATTGCGCCTTCTTCATTATATAAGTCTGTCTCGGATGTAATGCACAGTAGTATGATAACATCTCTAAAAATCCTGAGGATGTTATCGTTCTTGGGTTTAGGGACTGGATTTGGCATGTCTTCGCATGTCCTCCGGGAATTCAGATATAAAGTGTTCATCATGGTGATTCTCAAGTCGAAGTGACTCTTGCTTGCTTCCGGAATCCTGATGGATTCCAGTCTTGGACCCAATCAACTCCCAGAACGCTCGCACCAACTGTGATACGATAGTCGCTGCCGCATGATACGGATATGCATGCGTCGGAAACTGGAGACAATTGAGTTTGTATCGCCTGGCAGCCTCGTGTCTCCCTACATTCATCCCTGGGCGTCGTAGGGTAAGAAACGGGTAGCCGGTAGCGTCGAAAGATCTGCGCCTTAGGATGAAGACTCGAAGATGAAAGTCGTGGAGCTAGCGAAGGGGATTTGGTTAGGTTGGCCATTGGCGGGGCAGTGATGGAGAGTGCTATATTTCCGTATTGGTTGATCTGAAATTTCGTTGGTCTGACGCCTTTTAGGTATGGTACGAGGTAGAGGAGGCAGCGGTTGACCTAGGAAATGCGCAGCGCCCCATCCCACCGTTCACAATCGATGGACCAGTAACAAATGGTTCGTTAAACTAAGTTAATTAGAATAAGTTAATAGTAATTACCGGAGGTTCGGGTCCAGACTCCAGAGGTAGTCCATATCCTCACTCCTCTGCGTTCGTATCGCCTGCCCCAAACCCTTCCGGCCATTAGGGTAATGGTCTGCCGACATCCGACACCATTGTCGTCGTCCTCTTCGAAGCCACCGACATTTTGTTTAGCCTGTTTGTTTGCCGTTCTCGTTTAAGTATCTACAGCTGCATTGATCATGATATGGCCATGACCACTGTGCAGACTGTAGTTAACTCGTGGGCCGGAGAAGCGAGGATTAATGTTCCAGAAAGCCCGTTTTCAATGATTCTAAACCATCCGCTAACGCAGCCGGGACACCTGGGAGACTGCATGAGGAATGGACAGACCAACGCACGTTTCAGCAAGAGGTCCATGAGAGTTGATCCAGGCGTTAGTGGATTTGCTGTGACCTGTCGGTCCAAATTCGGGGGGTTGACAACGGGTTTGATTCGTTTACATTTTGGATCTTCTCTAACTGGTGTGCTCTTGGTGGTTAAACCAACATCGCGTTAGCTGGTTTCTCCGGGGAGAAAACCAGCTAGTCAGAGGCCAATCCAATCCTCAATTCTCATAGCGTCACCGAACCGCTGTCCGGGAATTCGTCCTCTTTCTGGAATCCTTTGGCTTGAGAATTGAGACCCTTAGCTCTCCTCTCTACCCTCATGCCCTGTACGAAGTCCAGAGTCCAGACACTCTGCAGTGTATGACATGATAGTTGCGCGTTGCGCGTTGCGAATCGCGAATCGCGAATCGCGGAGATTGGAACAATATTCAAGCCGTCAAGGCGCTAATACATACAGAGTACGCACTGCGTAGTAGCATTACGAACAACATAAAGCATTGCGACTTGGAATCCTGGAGGCTGGATGTTTTGGCCTTGTGGGTGCCGATTCGAGTCATTAATCTTGGCGCAGCTGTGATACGGATGCTGCTTGAGGTTTTGTAGTGACGTTATTGACACTTGTGACTTGACAGGTATGCAATGCAATATGCATGTCTTTCTGGACCGCTTTATGACGATCAAATCTCCGGGAGCCCAGTTTTCAATAGTGATTCTCCAAAGTCCAAGGACTATCCTTTGTTAGCGCTTCTACAATCGCAGTCACCATAGCCGATATTCCGGTGGTGCGGAGCTTTTACTCGGCGTCGCCGATCGCAGGCAAGGCTGATGAGTGATGGCTCCTTTCCTTTCCCATCCCGATTCACTAACTCAAGAGTGGTCTCTCAACTCCATTGGCTATTGCGCACGGCACCCGAGATGCGCACAGTGGCAGAGCGGTGTACAACTGTACATAGCATTGTCCAAGCGCCATATAGTCGGCTCACGGACTGAATATCCATAGCAACAAAATTTACCAGTCTTCTTGTCTTCATGAAATCTCCAGAGCGAGTCTGGCGTCGACAAGAGATCGTCGAATCTAAGGAACGGCGCGAAAGCTGGAGAAACAAGGCCCACACGTGGGTTGTAGAGTGTAGACAGGTCACCCGTCACAGATGCCGAGATAGCGTGGCTCCCATGTCGTGTCTGGTGTCAGACCACGTGCATTGTGCAATCTATTTCCCTGTCAGACAGCGCCTTAATGCATCGATTATGGTTCATGACGGTGCAGATCGTCTTGCTCGAGCACCTCGCTCTTGCAAGGAAGGAGATCTTGAATCTCAAGATCAAACAGATCCGTCGCCTAGTCTCTGACTCGGAATTTCCTTTAACTTGACGCCTGGCGGTCTTGACACCGGACAAGATGCCTAATCAAGAGAAATCTCCTAACCGTTTCGATCCTTAACTCATCATCTGTTGTACTATGTATAAGCAAATATCCTTAGTCTCAGAAACGGTTGACTGTTGAGCAAATGGGCAATCCACTATTACCGGGCCTTAGACGGGCTGATATGAGCAAGTGAAGCAGCCATCCCGCCTTCACAGACCACCTAAATATCATTGCATCTGGTGAAGCATCAAACTTTGGCCGGCACCTGATGCGTGAACAACACCCGAGCCCATGATTCAGGAAACGTTTTTCCATGAACCTTCGTCATTCACTTCCTCGAGCGGTCACTTTCTCGTTGGATCTTCTGGACTCCAATGTCTCTATAGTTTATTATGCCACCTGAAAGACCGTACAGGCATCCTCTGTTCCATAGGATCTATTTAGGGCACCTAGCTGGCCCAACGCTAGTGTTTCACGAACAAATTCGCGTACGAGCCCTATTAAGACCCTATTTCAAAGCATTGGGTGTCCAAGGGTTAGGATCACGAAGTCTCAAGTCCCCCGCATTCCAATGACTTGGTACTTTCGCGCTAACATATCGATGGAACGCGCGAAGAAGGTGAAAGTCTTGGAAAGCCCGTGGTGTTGCCGTTCCAAGGCGTTCCATCATTGTTGAGGATTGAGTGCTTGCATTAGTTCGAGCGTTAGCTGCGTATCAACTGCTTGCACCTGCATCCGGCCAGTAAGGGCGAGTTCTCGCTAACTACCTTAGCACTTGCAGGAGGAAACTGGAGAACAAGCCAGATGAAGCTGTTTCGGCTCCCTCATTCCGGCATCTGTGATGGCACAGCTTGACCGCCAAACAACCAAGGTCAGCTGCCGTTTGACAGTCCATGTTCTGTCTGTTTGGGAGCTTCATTGCTGCCCTGGAGCCTGGGCACCCCACGTTTCTCATGCCTTGCTTCGTCGGCGTCACTCCCGATGCACCGGGTAAGATGACGCGGGTCTGAGTGGACACGCCAGTCTATCCCGCTATGATATGCATCACGACGGCAAGAGTGGAGAATAATGATTGAGGAGATTCCGAGAATCGAAACCGTGGCGTTTCGATCAAGTCAGC